GCCATTGATGCAGAGGTATTCTTTGCAGCCTGAGATGGTGCATTGTCATGCGCATGAAGATGACTTTATTATGGAAAGCATAGTTCTTCCTTCTGTACCAGGGAAGAAAGTGGTCAGTCATAAACTCCAGATACTTTGCAGAGGTCATCTTTATACCTTCGGGGCCCCTAAAGGGGCCGACCAGCTCTGTTCCCACGATTCCGGCCCAAAACATGACTCCGCCACCGCCTTGCGGACGTCGCAGCATTGTTGGAACAGGGTGGCCGTCCACCAACCATCCACTACTCCATCCATCTGGACCATCCAGGGTTGCACGGCACTCATCGGTGAACATGTATTTTTCTGCCCAATGCAGCCCTTTCTGCTTGTGAGCATTGGTTATTGGTGGCCAATTAGAAGGTTTATGCACAGTTGCAAGACTCTGGAGGACTCTACACCTTGATGTCCGTGGGACTCCAGAGGCACCAGCAGCTTCAAATATCTGTTTGCTGCTATGTAATGGTATTTTAGCAGCTGCTCTCTTGATCCGATGCATGGATCTGGCAGAAATCTTCCTCAATGTGCCTTTATCTGCACGAACCCGTCTGTGCTTTGAATCAGCCACAAATCTCTTAATAGTGCGATGATCACGCTTAAGTTTTCATGAAGTATCTAATGTTTTCATACCTTGTCCAAGGCATTGAACTATTTCACTCTTTTCGGCAGCAGAGAGATCCTTTTTCTTCCCCATATTGCTTGAAAATTGTGCTTTGCTTAATAATGTGGGACACCGTCCTTTAGTAGTTTTTTCTTAAATTGGGCTCACCTGCCAATCTAATTATCACAGGTATCCGAGATTGTTTTCAGTGATCAAAAGAGCCTTGACACACAATGCCATCCATGAGTTACACTGAAAAAAACAAAATATTTCATCTTTGTGACACTTAAATAGAATTTGCATAATAATTTGGAACACGGTGTATAAGTATATATGCGTGTGTGTGAGAGAGAACATGGCAGCGCAGGATCCGAGTTATGACAGAAGAGATGTGGATCTCAGCAGCAAAATGCTGGATCTGCTGGGTGGGTGAGTTTTTGAATTGTGCACAACCCAGCATTACGTAAGCAAAAAATGGGTTCCCCTTTAAGAACAGGTAAAGAACATATAACCAATATAAAAAACCAGAAGGGATAATATGAGGAAGATCGCTAAGTGTATGGAGATTCCTTTGCTCACCACTGACAGTGTAATCAATCCGCTACTGCAGAGCGGGAACTGCTATACAGAAGTTATACAGTGTTGTGGAGACAGAACTGCTTTGTTTACCTAGGTGCAGCAGCAGACCAGCCTGTAGATTTTCAGCACAGTGCCGAAAAATAGAGCAACCGAGCTTGCACAGAGCAGGGTGAGAAAGGGTATTACTGAATTTTCAACAAGGCACACATCGGCCCTTATTTTAAATGATTTACATAGCTATACCTGCAAAATAGGCCTGAAGTGAGCTAGCAGGTCTTAGTTTTCTGACCAAAGTTCCACTTTTAACTAAGTACATTGGGGACAAAGTACTTTTTGTAGGAGGGCTACCTGGAGCCTGTGTGACAATGTCCAGACTATGTACATTAGAGCTCAAGTTTAATCTGCTTATAATTGCCATACCCCTCCCACCCCACTTCCCCATCATCTTCTCATAAATATGCTGTTTGAAATTCTTAAAACCTTTTTTCATTGTGTACCTTCTCTTGGCTACATTGTTGACGTCACTGGGTTTCTACCACTATATGCAAGGCAGGCAGATCATGAAGGATGGAAGGGACTGGCAGGTTATTGTACCCAGCTTCCTTAAAACTTCTAAGCGCCTCTAAAAGGCCCTCAGTGTTGATTTACTAGTGCTCTGGCTCTTGGGAGCAGGTATGCAATTATCAAAATGCCTTGATGGAGTAAGCATCACTGGACAAACTGCATTTGCATGCAAACTGCCCTAGGTAATGCCCTCATGTGATGCTTAGCCTCCATGACTGAAAGAACTGAAATCCAAAGACTAAAGCCGCATGCCAGGCTCCATCAGGCTATGAAGGATGCTGAACATCCTCCAGGCAAGAAATGAGGAAGGCTCTGTCTACATCTTCTAATACACACTTTAAGAAGCTGTAGGAAATATACAGTGATATCAGAGTAAGCAGTTACAGCATATGAAAGCCTAGGCAACTGTGCAAGACAGTGAAGATAGGGTTGGAGGTTCAGCTTTAACAAATCTACTCTTTGGACATGTCTGTTATGTCCAAAAAAGAAGAGGGTAAATGAACTTGCGGCAGTAGCGTGTCATGCAGTTGTTTTGGTTTTTACTCAATGGGCTGTCTTTACTGTAAAAGAGATCTAGGCAGCTGTGGAGCTGCCCAGTCACCTTTTACGTGGGTTGGGAACAATTATAAGAAGGTGTAATAAAACTAACCAAAACTAATATTTTAAGCGTTTTGCATACCCATGTTTACTACCAAGCCTTATCTGCCTCAAAGAGCAAAACTCATTCATGATACTTTAGGGTAGACAAAGCATGTGACGAAGGTGTCCTGCAAGGCTCCAAAATGTTGTTTCTGCTATAATGATGTAATCGCTGAGCAAAGCTTTGGCCCCGTCCTGGAGATTCATGGTGTGCTGGTGACATTCTCTCATTCTCGTCTTTGGTTCCAGTCGGTTGCTACAGCACCGATTTTTCATACACCGCTATTTCTGCAGGAAGTGTGCATTTGGAATAGTGCGTTGGATTCATTTGTGATGAGACTTTTTTGCCCCAAACTAGAGCTGATATTCTTCATAAAGCATAACTCAAGTAGGAGGTGATTGTAGCCGTTTTAGTGCATTTAGTGTACAGGAGATGGCCACAGACTGCGGACACGGTACAGGAGATGGCCACAGACTGCGGACACGGTACAGGAGATGGCCACAGACTGCGGACACGGTACAGGAGATGGCCACAGACTGCGGACACGGTACAGGAGATGGCCACAGACTGCGGACACGGTACAGGAGATGGCCACAGACTGCGGACACGGTACAGGAGATGGCCACAGACTGCGGACACGGTACAGGAGATGACTGCTGACCTTTGGGGGGAGGGGAGCGGGTACCTGAATTTGACAGGTACCCGCTCTTCCGCGGAGTTGTTCTTTTGATCTTACCTGTTCCTCTATCCACCCGTGTGCTGTCTACCCCCGGCTTCTGTAGTGTGGGCGCTCGGCGGACAGCCGAATGCCCAGTGCGCATGAGCGAGAAACGCTGCGCTTTGTGATTGGTCCGGCGGCTTCTGGGATCTGTCATGTGTCGCAGGTACCGCCCGCCTTACCATTCACAAAGAGCACCGCTTCTTGAACAGGTAAGATCCCACTGCAGAGCTGAGCGGCTGGCCCGGTATTCTGACACGGCGGCGGTGGAAATACTGCACCGGCCGCTCCATATTCGCTCCATAAGACGCACTGACATTTTCCCCCCTTTTTTTGGGGGGAAAAAGTGCATCTTTTGTAGCGAAAAATACGGTATTTTCTTTATTGTAGTATACTGGTATATTTCAGCATAATAAGTAATGGATTTTCAGACTGGTTTATAGGTGAAAGAAAATTCATTGGTTACCCTAAACAGGCTTTACCCAAATATACTGCATTGAATAATAGTCCAGCATAAAGTGTTTTACCTGAATTTTGCCATTTGAGTAGACAAAATGTATTCTTCAAAAAACAGTACATGCTTGTCAACATACATTAGTGCGTCTGTGTTTTTATGTTCTTCAAGCAGTTGCAGCTTGATCCAAATTGGATTCATTTATTTTTTTGTTATAATATGTTTCTAGGGATGCACCAATTTTTCGGTGACCGTTTCAGCCGAAAATACCCCTATCGGCCTTTGGGTGATATGAAAATAGGCACTGATACGAATGCCGAAAACCACCCCGCCGCATAGAGATCAGTGAAAGAAAGATGGCCTCCGCTCATCTTTGTCTTTGAAGGACCAGAGCCGATGTCATTATGTCACTTCTGGTTTGGGCGCCAATGTGGGGTCTTATTGACTTGTCACTGCTATCACAAGGGATGTTTGCATTTAAAGAGATAGTGTAAAAAAAATGTAATATAATAAAAAAGTTTTTAAAGTGCTCCCCCCCGTGTTTCGCATGCAGTGATGAATGCATACGTAGGCCATGCCCACATATGTAAATGGTGTTTCAACCACACGTGCGGTATCGCCGTGAACGTCGAAGCAAGAGCAATAATTCTAGCACTAGACCACCTCTGTAACTTTAAACTGGTAACCTGTAGAAATTTTTAAAGCATCACCCTTGGAGATATTTAAGTACGGTAGTTTGGTGCCATTCCACAAGCATGCGCAATTTTAAAGCATGATAAGTTGGGTATCTATTTACTTGGCAAGAAAAAACATAAGAGGGTGCACTCTCCTCGTGCATTACTGTAATGACCGATTTATTAAAACATAGATCACAAATGGATACTCCCAAGCAAACGATAAAACCAGACACAGAGCCAGATCTTATTTTTATGACTGTCTGTTTTTCTGGTTTGTGAGTATCCATTTATGATCTATGTTTTAATAAATCCCGGTAATACACGAGGAGAGTGCGCCCTCTTGTGTTTTTTTGTTGATGCTTCCTGGATTCCCTGATCTGTGGAGGGCTGCACCTCATCAAATGACAGACACCGTGTGAAATTGTGGAGCACCAAGATTTCAGCGCTGTTGTGGTTGGCATTATTTGATTGATCTATTTAGTTGTGTAACATCATCTTTCATATTATACAAAAAAATTGGGGTATATATTGTGTTTTTTTGTTTTTTAAATTGCGTTTGAAAAATATATACATTTTTAAAAACTGTCCATTTTGGTCTTTGGCCAAGTGCATCTTGAATTTTCAGTTTCGGCACCAGGATTTTAATTTCGGCGCATCACTATATGTTTCCATGTTAGCTAGATACATTGATTGGTTTTAGGAATTTATCTTGCATGTTTTTTTCCAAACAGATCTAACTGGGTCAATAGCAGCACCTGATGTTAAGTTAAACCTTGATGGAGACTTCACCAAAGAGTCGAAAGCCACCACATTTCTTCGCCAGAGAGGTTATGGATGGTTACTGGAAGTAGAAGAAAATGATCCTGAAGATAATAAACCTTTACTGTATGTGTTTGCATTTAATATTTTGCTTTGAGATTAAGGAAACGTTCACGCATTACTGCATGCATTTTCATGTACAAGCTTGGATGTGTCATTCAAGGTGGTGGGAAAAAAATTTAACAATCAGGGGTGTGGAAATTATTTAAAAAAACTACTTGTTCAGGGGACTAAATCTACTTGTCCCTCATGCAAAACAAGCGTCTGGCAGGGAGGGGGGAGACCTTGCAGTGTGATCAGCACTGATTGGGTGCTCATCAGGAAAGGGGAATGTCTAGAATGTCTCATCTTCCTGGCTATGTGTCTCATCCTCCGTGTGGGTAGGCTGTGTAGCCATTCTGCCTGTAGTGTGAGGCTACACAATGAGTACAGGTGTGGCTCAGAAAGGTGCGTGGTGGTGCTCCCAGACTCTGGAGGACAGGAAGGAATTGGCAGACACCCCCAGGCCCAGGCAGCAGGGTGGATAAAAATTGATGATTTAAAAATAAAATCAACGGAAGCCTTCATTTGGTTTGCAAATGTTAAAGAATTAACTACCAGCAAGAATGAGTCGGATTCCTTACATTTAAAGAGTGCCTGTCATTTAAATCCATCATGGCAGCGCCTGTTAGCATGCATCCACTCCCCTGCTGCTGCCTCTACGTCCCTCACCTTGTTGTGTCACTGCTGAATCACCACCAGTCACATTAAAGCGAATGGGACTGTCAGTGAGTCAACAGCATGTCAGAAGAGGAGCTGCTGCGGGACAGAGATGACAGTTGCTCTTTAAAAATTAGGATATGATTTAAATCAAACCTTTTCATTAGTGATTTTAAATCGTGATTTAAATCAACTTGATTTAAATCAAATCCACCCTGCTGGGCAGACAGGCTGGTTTAGTATTACTTAGCAGGGGAGCATGTGTAAAAGACAAAAGGGAGGGGAGTGTACCACCTGTGATCTGGCCAGCGTGATCGGTGACCCCTCCCCCCCCCACCCCCACCCCCCCCCCCCCCCCCCACGACTTTGGTATGTGTAGTAGTCTATGAGCTGAATGCGGACGAAGGAACTACACTTCTAGAGAGGCTGTGTGCGACCTCTGTCATAGCAAACGTGCCGCTTTTCAAATAGAGAGGTCAGTAACCGAGTGGACCTGGCTGGCCGGCGGGGTGTGGGTGGCTGGCAGATGATTAGCCATTGGATGGCAACATGTGGGCTCTATGGAAATAGCAGTGCTGAGGTAGGGAGGCTGAGCCTGCAGTTAGCTGGAGGAAGGAGGTGAAATGAAGCTCCGGGGCAAAAAAAAAAAGTAAACCCTGCTGCTTGCCCACATTAGGGCTAAATGTAAAAGAAAAAAAAAACCTGCCCAGTGTCTGGAACTGCATCTCCCAGCGTCCGGCGATTGGAATTGCACATCCCCAAACAATGCAGATTTTCCATTGTTCAGATATGTTAAAAAATTACCAAAAATGCATTATTTGTATGACTTTCTGTATTTGTGTTTTTACAGTGGAACTGCATTTTTTTATCACTTACAATGTGCAAAAACGCAGTATATCCTGTCTTTGAAAACCACCCTTAGCTACAACGCATGGTTTCGAACTACATCTATCTATGCAAATCACACCAAAAGTAGTGCATGTACTACTTTAGAAATTGGTGCGGCTCCGACTAAGTCGGAACCACACTGATATGACTGCTCTAATCGCAGACAGTAGGCTGCGATTTGGCATTCGATTTGCAAGTTGCATGGAATGCAAATCGCAGAGCAATTCGCATCCAGTGTGACCAGGGTCTAATTAAATTTTTTAGCATTAATATTGAGAATCACTATATAGGACTTTTGAAGCATCAATAGTTTGCACAGGGCCTTTCGGTATAAAAGCGAAACAGTACAATGGCAATATAATTCAAGACAAGAGCATCAGGAGTGCCCTTCTTGTGAGAGATTACAATCCAAAAGGGAGGGGCAAGTGATACAAAAAGATGACTGTGAGGTTGAGTTGATGGGGAAAGTAAAAGTTCAGTTGTTAGGTAGAGTTAAAGAGGTGAGATGATTGTTCAGGAATCAGCTAAAGGCAAACAGACTAGGGAAGAGTTCCATAGGAATGAAGAGGCTTTGGAGATGTCCTGGAGACAAGCATGGGAGGAGGTGACAAAGGTGCTAATGAGGAAATTTTGGGAGCAGAAAAAAGGACAGTTTGTCTGAGATTTTCAGATGAGATTGGTGATGTATTTGTGGATGGCTTTGTACATTAGTATATTAAAGCCAGCAAGGAGGGAATTAGTTGCTTAGTGGTGTCATTGGTTAAGAAGAGGCATATTTTGGATATGTTACAGAGGGAAACGCTGCAAGATTTGGTTAGGTTGTATGTGGGGCTTAAAAAAGACGTCCAAGTCTAGGATTACACCTAGCACCCTGGCATGAGAGAAAGTACTAAAAGTTGTGCTATTGATTGTGATGGGACAGGGCAAATTATTAGCTCAATTTTGGAAAGATTGAGTTTTAGGAAGGGGTGTGACATCCATATTGAGAACTGACTTTAGCGATGAGTGATGAGACAGAAGGGAATGAGCTGAGGAATAGAGAGCTAGATTTGGGTTTCATTAGTATAGAGATGGTTCTGGAAGCCATAGGATTTTTTTCAGAGTTCCATGCGAGGAGGTGTAGATTGAAAATAGAAGGTTGCTCTTGTGAGACCCTTACGGAAAAAGGAAGAGGAGAGGAGGAGATGGTTATGGGTGACACTGAAGGATCGCTTATAGAAGTTTGTAGAAGTTTGGATGGTCATGATGAGCAGGATAGGGGTTTTAAGTTGTTCAACCTGATGGGGGTCCAGCGAGGGCTTTTTAAATATGGGAGTGACCAGTGCATGTTTTAGAGGGGAGGATGCCAGTATAGATGTAGAGATTTGAACTATAAGAGAATGTAAAATAGAGTAAGAAGGTGACTGAAGTAGGTGAGAGAACAAGGTCCAGGGGACATATGGTTGGGTCGGCATCAGAGAAAAGTTTTTAGCAACCTCCTCTGTAGTAACAGGATCAAAAGAAAGGAAAGTATTGGATGTGATGATAGGTATGGTATGTTAAAGGATAAGTTGACCTTTTCGGAATAAATAAATAAATGCACTTTTTTTTTTTTCCAGAAGACTGGAAAGCATTGCACCCGAGATCAACAGATCGCTGGTGCAATGTCTGGCTCCTGCAGACTCAGTGTAGCTGTGTGCCCATACCTCCGATGCAGGCAGTTACTTCACTCCAGAACTACAGGCATGCTTACCAGCTCCATCGTAGTTCATTGAGAATTATAAGCTGTCAGCTGGAAAGGCTGTCGGTATTTGTAGTCTATTGATTCGCAGAGCTCTGTGAATGAATGATGAGGCCATGTGGGCGGAGCCCCACAAGGCTTTGCTCTCTTGAAATTGTGAAAGTGGGTGTGGAGAGAGGATTCCTGGGCCGTTGTCACAGGTGGGGGGGGGGGGTCGCCCTAAAAATAAGCGGAACATGTTCCCGAAGGTTAACTCATCCTTTAAGTGGAGGAGATACTATATCTTGACAGGGGCGATCTTGTTACAAATTGCACCTGTCCTGTTTATAAATGAATGGCAATGTCCTGAGCAGTGACTACCAGGCAGCTCTTTACTGCAGAGGAGACATGCTACGTAACCAGAACGAACGAACTCCTATGCATAGGCACGGGAATTACAGAATTCCTTGGCCTGTTAATCAAGACGGCCAAACACCCAGTACCTGGAAGAAGCCAGGGAGAATATGTTGGCGCCAGCAAGTGACCTTGTAGATGTTGTGTCGTTAGTATTTGTGAATATTTGGGTTGCTTTGCAGAGAAAGCATCAAGGAAGCACAACACCTGTTCATGAAGCAGAATCATCATGTGCGGGGGGGGGGGGGGGGGGGGGGGGGGGGGTTTGTACGATGAACTTTAAATGTGTTCTCTGGGAATAGGGGAAATCCAACTCCACCTGCCTTTCCTCCTTGGTTCTGGGTTAATGAGTCCAGTAGACGTGCGAGAGTGCAGCTAAAGAGGTAGAATAAGATTTCTAAAGCCAGGTTTTAATACCTGCAAGTAGGTTAAAGGAGTTAGAGATAAAAAGGTGGATAGCTGAAGAAGATAGAGGTGAGCTTGTTACAGACAGAGCTGGCATTCCAGATGGCACATGATTAGGGGGGAGCTGAGAAATAGGAATAAGATTGTCGATTGCTGTCAGAGGAAGGAGGGTTTTATATGTACGCACCAGGTGATGGTTGCAGTAAATAGGGAGTGGGCAGGAGTAGGAGTGATATAGAAATATGTAAGCTGTGGGGTGGAGAAGAGTAGTAGGTAGCAGAAGATAAATTGGAGCATATTACAGAGGGAATATAGTAGGAACTGGGCTAAATTGTGCATAAAAGATTTAATCAAATTTTGACTCCTACTATGCCAGTTTTCAAATATTTAACCTTCTATTACTCTAATTGGCTTCTGCAAGTTTGCCTTTTTTTTCAGGAATATGAAGGAGCACGGGGACAATCCAGGATATATGCGGTCATAAAATTGAGCTTGAGATCAGAGGTTGTTCTGCACTATTTAAAATGACATCTGGTCTGAAGAGCTTTAACTATTAGGCAGGTGTACCCAGCCCTTAATTCAAATGGAGCGTACGTCACATTGTGTGGACTGTGCATAGTTGGCATATTTTGCAGTAGGACATAATGACAGTAGACACAGGGACATAGGTTCTGAACAAAGGGCAGGTAAGTTGGTATGATTTTTAGACTGTTTCTGTGTGCCCCCTATTTCCACTATTCCTGCTTGAAAGATGGTATAGCTTGTTGTAGCTCTTAAATTCACTGACATGCTAATTTTGAGTTATTGTAACCTTTTTTTCTTTTTGTGTGCATATCTTTACTTTTGTTTTCTTTCTTTCCATAATTATAGGGAGGAGTTGGACATAGATCTTAAAGACATTTACTACAAAATCCGATGTGTTCTGATGCCGATGCCATCCCTTGGGTTCAACAGACAAGTAGTTCGAGACAATCCTGACTTTTGGGGACCACTTGCAGTTGTTTTATTCTTTTCAATGATCTCCCTGTATGGCCAGTTTAGAGTAAGTGCAGTTCTGTTAATGCTTGTAGAAAGTGAATGGAGGGATCCCCCCACTAGGCATTTAAAGCCAATTCCAGGAAACTTGAAAATTCTCCCTTGCTGTAGGGTTGTGCCCGCACTGCAAGGGCTAACTATTGATTTAGGTCTAGGGGGTATGGAAAAGTAGATTTACTTACTCACTTGTCTGCACTGCTAGAACGACCGCATGACGTCATACTCCCCATGCTCCAGCTGTCTAAGGTCCTGACATCAAGACTGATGCAGGATCCATAGCCCTGCCAAAGCATGGTGCAACATTGTCTGCCAGGGGAAGGGAGGATCAGGTAAGTGAAGTGTGTGTGTTGTTTTTTTTTTTTTTTCCATTAGGTAATCAGATGCTGCCTGTAGACATTTCTACATACTGTTCCAACTATGAGGCACAAGCTTTCCAACTAATCTGTCTGTTGTCTGGTTATTGTGTTTTTATATCTGATCTTTCTCCTCACTTGTGCAGTTTCAGTTGTCACTAAATATAGTACAAATATTCAATTGTTTGTATCTCTGTATGTCAAACGTATGTGTTTTTGTATGTCCGTGTCACGCCAAGCAGCACATATCTTCAGGAGGAAGTGTCAACAGACTCTTCCAGTTTAGGAGGTAAAATAGGCTAATGTCACATCTGTTCTACAGAGGATATAAACACATTCATTCCACTACAGGAGCTTTATGAACATCTAGGTATCGTGTAAATAATTGAGGAGTCATTATATTATTTAAATTTAGTTCATAGTAATTGTTTGGAAACCAGTGCACCAGTTCCATAAAATATTCTCTGCTGTTTTTCAGGTTAACATGACTTGTGTGGTAACAAACCCACTTACATAGCCACTGAATGGGAGGAAGCTTTGGGCTTCATTTAAAGTGTTTAATTCCTTATTTTCAAAGCCAAGGATGGAAATATAGCTTATGAAATTAATTAGATTTGTCACATAGTATTAGCTTAAGAGAAGTCTGACGATCACTTTTCAAAGTGATAATTGAACTGAATGAGTAATAATAAAAAAGAAATAATAGAACGTTCTATGATATTAATGCAGGAGGAACAATGCTAACCAGCATGGTAAGGACGCAAGTAGTGGTCTACCTTTTCATGTAGAAGCCAATTATGTAATTTTAAACTCAGTCAGATCACTGTAAACTCAAGTGCCATCTTAGTTTGAGTTTTCTACTTCACAAAGATTTATGTAGAATATTGGTAGAAAACAATCTGAAGGTGAAGAGAGTAACCGAGAACATTGTAAACAGGAAAAGCTGTGGTGTGGTAATGGGGTAGGACTGGGAAGAGAAAAGTTGGGTAAGCGGGTAAGGGGGAATGAATGGGCACTCTGATTATGCATAAGATCGTGTGTGTGTGAGTCAAACCCCTGGATAGGATGTCACTATATTACAGGGAATTGGTGAATTCTATCCAATAGTACTATCCTTGTCTAAATTTTTTTTTTTTTTTTCTTCTAATGTTTGAGGTAGGTCATCAGATCTTCAGAGTATCTGATCTTGTTTATTTTAGAAAACCATAAGCTGAGAGATGGGTAGATTCTTGACTCTAGAGGGTAGATACACATTTCTTGGCTGCTTTTAAAAGGTGTATCTGAAGGGCCTTTTTGCATTTGTGCCTGGGACCATTAGGTGAAGACGGTAGGCTGCTGGATCATCCCCAAAATCCAGATCAGTTTTTTTTCTTTTTTTTTTTTTTTTTTTTTTGAAGAATTGTGGGAACTTTGTACCATCATGTCCCATTTTCAAAAGCAAAAGTGGTGAATAATTCTGGTGGTACTGTTAGAAGTTAGGGACATGGAGTGTCTCAGTGTTCTGGTGTTCAAACACAGTTGAGTGACAAGCCAACAGCCTTGCAGGTATAGTGTGAACAGGAAGTGTTAGTTGAGTGAGTCTCCAGATTAAGTGGGGAGGTTTATTATGGCCCACACATCTGCTACGGGTTTAATGCCCTTGGTGGATAAAAAGTTGTTTTGCAGGAAGGAGTCAAGGGAATTGTTTGTTCCTTACACCTGCATAACCAGAGTGTTTTTTTTTTTTTTTTGCAGTGTTAGAGATGTAGGTTGTAGCATAGTAATTTTAAGATTAGGGCCAATAATTGGGTGAGTATGTAGTGGTGAGGCATGTTTTTGCCTCTTTTCATGGAGAACTGTTGTGTTTTTTTTTTATTATTTATTAGGAACGAGAGCTCAACTTTTATATAAAAAAAAAGTTATATGTGCTTCTTTCTGTGCTCAATCCAACAGCCATACTTGTTACATATGCAGACTGTGATACATACATACATACCTCAAAAAAATTAACGGAACACTTTTGAATCAGAGTATAGCATCAAGTCAGTTAAAAACTTGGGAAACTGATGTGGTTAGTTAAGTAGCAGAGGGGGTTGTTAATCAGTTTCAGCTGCTTTGGTGTTGCTGAAACTAACAGGTGCACTAGATGGGAAATAATGAGGCGACCCCAAAATAGGAATGGTTTTACAGCCAGTGACATTTTTTTTTCCCTACTCATCTTTTCTGACTTTTTTTCACTAGTTTTGCATTTGGCTAGGGTCAGTGTCGCTACTGGTAGCATGAGGCGATACCTGGACCCTACAGAGGTTGCACAGGCACTCCAACTACTCCAGGATGGCACATCAATATGTGCCATTGCAAGAAGGTTTGCTGTGTCTCACAGCACAGTCTCTAGAGCATGGAGGAGATTCTAGGAGAGCTGGACAGGGCCTTAGAAGGTTGTTAACCCATCAGCAGGCCCAGTATCTGCTCCTTTGTGCAAGGAAGAACAAGATGAGAACTGCCAAAGCGTTACAAAATGACCTCCAGCAGGCCACTGGTGTGATTGTCTTTGATCAAACAATTAGAAACAGACTTCATGAGGGTGGCCTGAGGACCAGACGTCTTCAAGTGGGGCCTGTGCTCACTGCCCGACAGGCACCATAGAGCTCAACTGGAGAAGCTGTGGACAACGTTATGCTGCTTGTAACATCGTTCAGCATGACTGTTTTGGTGGTGGGTCAGTGATGGTCTGGGGAGGCATATTCTTGGAGCGACGCACAGACCTTTGCAGGCTAGACAATGGCACCCTGACTGCCATTGGGTATCGGGATGAAATCCTTGGACCCATTGTCAGACCCTACACTGGTGCAGTGGGTCCTGGGTCCCTCCTGGTGAATGACAGTGCCCGGGCTTGTGTGGCAAGAGTATGCAGGCAGTTCCTGGAGGATGAAGGAATTGATACAGTTGAATGGCCCGCATGCTTGCCTGACCTAAATCCAATAGAACACCTCTGGGAAATCATGTTTTGGTCCACCTGACGCAACCAGGTTGCACCTCAGACTGTCCAGGAGCTCAGTGATGCCCTGGTCCAGATCTGGAAGGAAATACCCTAAGACACCATCCGTCGTCTCATTAAGAGCATGCCCGATGTTGTCAGGTATGCATACAAGCACATGGGGGCCATACAAACTGAGTAGCATTTTGAGTTGCTGCAATGAAATTTCAGCAAAATGGACTAGCCTGCTGCATCATTTTTTTCACTTTTGATTTTCGGGGTGTCTATGAATTCAGTCCTCTGTAGGTTGATCATTTTCATTTCCATCAGTTGATAGGGCATCCTTACATTCCTAACACATTACCCAGTCCATATCAGTATAGATATCCAGCATGATATTTTTCCCCATTTAGATCGTGTGTGTGTAATGGCAAGCCTAATTTGAATAATGTTCTAGTTCTTTTGTACTAATAGTTCCTCTGACATGGGAATATTTGACAGACATACTGTACATTTAAAAAAAAAAAACTGTGACAGAAATTTTAACCGGTGTAACAGTGTGTCTGATATCTTATACATCTTCAGATAGACCTGGTACTACAAGGTATGGGGTGGATGTAGGAATCTTCCTTCTCTTTTTTTTTTTTTTTTTTTTTATGATGAGTGACTCAAAAGTATTGCAGCTAGAGACAGCCAGACAACTACCATATTCTGGAGGTCAGAATTTTCAGGTATGGGGTAAGTGTGAATGCTAATTCCACACCTCACAATGTAGTGTTTGGTGTCTGAACAAACTATCATCAGGCCCAGGCACTGTTACATTGGAGGTGGGACTGTGTGCTTGGTGCTATTCAGATACCAAGCTTTAAACAGTGTTTTACCTAATATGAGGCTGGAGTTCCAGCAGTGCATTGGAGAGGCAGGCATCCTTTGTAAATACAGTTAGGTCCATATATATTTGAACACAGGCACAATTTTCATACTTTTGGCTCAGTGTGCCACCAGATCAAATTCATTTGGATTGTTTCATTTTAATTTAAAGTGCAGACTTTCAGCTTTAATTGAAGATGTTGAACATAAATATCAAGTACAAATTTTAGGAACTGCAACCATTTTTCTACACAATCCCTCCATTTACAGGGGCTCAAATGTAATTGGACAAATGAACATAATCATAAATAAAATGTTAATTTTTGATATTTTATTGAGAATCCTTTACTGGCAATGACTGCCTGAAGTCTGGAACCCATGGACATTACCAAAGACTGGGTTTCCTCCTTTCTGATGCTTTGCCAGTCTCTAACTGCAGCTGTCTTCAGTTGTTATTTGTCCTGCCTTTTAGTTTTGCTTTCAGCAAGTGAAATGCATGCTCAATTGGGTTGAGATCAGATGATTGACTCAGCCATTGCAGAATATTCCACTTCTTTTCATTCAAAAGCTCCTGGGTTGCTTTTGCAGTGTGTTTTGGATCGTTGTCCATCTGTACTGGGAAGCACCATCCAATCAACTTTGCTGCATTTGACTGAATCTTGGCTGATATCTCTAAACACTGCAGAATTCATCCAGCTGCTTCTGTCTTCTGTCACGTCATCAATAAACACTAATGAGCCAGTGCCACTGGAAGCCATGCATGCCCATGCCATCACACTGCCTCCACCATGTTTTTACAGAAGACGTTGTGTGCTTTGGATCATGAGCTGTTCCAAGCCTTCTCCACACTTTTTTTTTTTTTTCTGTAAATTCCTGTCATTCTGGTACAGATTAATCTTAGTTTCTTCCGTCCAAAGAATGCTTTGCCAAAAAAAAAAAATCTAAAAAAGCCAGACCAGTTCTGGAAAAGTCTAATCTGGCTTATCTATTCTTCAGGCTTATGAATGGTTTGCATATTATAGGTAATTATTAAGAGGTTGTTAATTAAGTTATCGTGTCACCCAATGTTTGGTTTCCATTCAGTAGCCAAAAAAGGCATTCAAAAAAGGGGGGTTTGTGAAAAGAGATTCACAGAAAAGCGGCTACATTATGAACAGACCGTGACACTCAGAAAATTTTCCAAAAATTATGCTTTATTACACAGATATAAATATGACATATGGGCATTCGCCCTGGTTTACCATCACCTCAGTATGAGACAATAACACACAGACCTAAAACCATATAAAATAACATCAAGACCGGTCTAAATGTATGTGCAACAGAAAAAGTGACTGCAAGAGTCTAATATCTCTGTAGTACAAACACATAGGTAAACACTTCCCTAAAGAGGTGTATCCAAAAATTATACCATAGGTATACCATAATATTAAATAATGAATTTACACCAATATCATAATGGTGAATCCCGAACAGGGAATCCAAAAATTATACTATGGATATACGTATATCACATGTATGAAATGCAGTAAGCACAATAAGTGTGAAGAGGGGAACAGAAAGCCTCAGGCCTGTTTGGAAAAAGACATAAATGTCAAATATATGATACAATACATTCCTGTGCCGGCACATGTGGTTGGGGCCCGTTCATCTGTTATGTGAACAGCTGTATCATAAAGCTCTTGAATGGAAATAAGCCCCATTTATTCCCAGAATGGGAGAAAAGGTGCAGATTGCAGCACTCTGCTTGAAATGGTGTCTTCACCACTGTATGTGGACTACACACCACCCTTTGTAGGAAAAGCAAGACCTATCCCAAGGAATCTTCTGCCTGTTGAACTATATGCAGTATGTCCTGTATCCTACACAAAGCACCATAATGTCCCCATCCTGTAGTGAAACAAATAATGTGGGAAGTCACTGACAGAGCTTGCACTCAATAAGATATGTAGGTCATATTGATCACAGAGGACCGTATATCTAATGTCCTGTAACAATCCACTCACCACCTGTGCCGTGGATAAAGGGAATGAAAGAAATGTCCTTCATGGATATTGCCAGACACGGCTACAGAGGCCCGGTCTTGATGTTATTTTATATGGTTTTAGGTCTGTGTGTTATTGTCTCATACTGAGGTGATGGTAAACCAGGGCGAATGCCCATATGTCATATTTATATCTGTGTAATAAAGCATAATTTTTGGAAAATTTTCTGAGTGTCACGGTCTGTTCATAATGTAGCCGCTTTCCTGTTATGAATGGTTTGCACCTTGTGGGGAACCCTTTGTACTTGCTCTCGTCTTCTCTTGATTGTAGACTTTGACAATGAGATATCCACCTCCTGGAGAGTGTCCTTCATTTGTCTGGATGTTGTGCATGGGTTTTTCTTTACCATAAAAAGGATCCTGCGATCATCCACCACTGTTGTCTTCCGTGGATGTCCATACCTTTTTTATGTTGCTGAGCTCACCAGTGAGTTCTTCTTTCCTCAGAATGTACCAGACTGTTGATTTGGCCCCTCCTAATGTTGCTGCTATCTCTCAGATGGATTAGTTTCATTTTTGAAGCCTTACAATAGCCTGTTTCACTTGCATGGACAGCTCCTCTGAACACATGATGCAGGTTCTCGGCAATAGATTCCAAATGCAAATACCACACTTAGAATCCACTCCAGACCTTTTACCTGCTTAATTGATGAAGAAATAATGGAGTAGCCCACACCTGGCTATGAAACTGCTTTTGATTCAGTTGTCCAATTACTTTTGGTCCCTTGAAAAAGGAAGGATGGCTACTCTTAAGAGCTGTAATTCCTAAACCCTTCCTCCAATTTGGATGTACGTACCCTCAAATTTAAACCTGAGAATGTGCACTTTCAGCTCATATCCATGATATAACTATAGCTTGTATATGTTTTGGTAAATACCTGAAAAAAAAAACTAAAATTGTGCCTGTGTCCAAATATATATGGACCCAACTGTACAGTGAGGAACAGAAGTATTTGAACACCCTGCAATTTTCTAAGTTCTCCCACTTAGAAATCATGGAGAGGTCTGAAATTCACATTGTAGGTGTATTCCCACTCTGAGAGACTGAAATTTAAAAAAAAATTCAGGAAATCACATTATGATTTTTTTTTTTTTTAAATTTATTTGTTTTGCACTGCTGAACATAAGTATTTGAACACCTGATAAAATCAGTGTTAATATTTGGTACAGAAGCCTTTGTTTGCAATTACAGAAGTCAAACGTTTCCTGTAGTTCTTGACAAGGTTTGCACACACTGCAGCAAGGATTTTGGCCCACTCCTCCACACAGATCTCCTCTAGATCTGTCAGATTTCGGGGCTGTCGCTGAGCAACACGGAGTTTCAGCTCCCTCCAAAGATGTTCTATTGGATTTAGGTCAGGAGACTGGCTAGGCCTCTCCAGAACCTTGATATGCTTCTTACGGAGCCACTCCTTGGTTATCCCTGCTGTGTGCTTTGGGTCGTTGTCATGTTGGAAGACCCAGCCAAGACCCATCTTCAATGCTCTGACTGAGGGAAGGAGGTTGTTGCTCAAAATCTCACAATAAATGGCCCCATTCATCCTCTCCTTAATACAGTGCAGTCGTCCTCTCCCCTTCACAGAAAAGCACCCCCAAAGCATGATGTTGCCACCCCCCATGCTTCACAGTAGGGATGCTGTTCTTGGGATGCAACTCATCCTTTTTCCTCCAAACACGGCGAGTGAAGTTTAGACCAAAAGGTTCTACTTTGGTCTCATCTGACCACATGACTTTCTCTCATGCCTCCTCTGGATCATCCAGATGGTCATTGGCAAACTTCAGACGGGCCTGGACATGTGATGACTTGAGCAGTGGAACCTTCCGTGCAATGCATGATTTGAAACCATGACGGTGTAATGTTCTACCGACGGTGACCTTTGAAACTGTGGTCCCAGCTCTCTTCGTGTCATTGATCAGCTCTCCCCCCTTGTAGTTCTGGGCTGATTCCTCACCTTTCTTATCAGTGATACCCCACGAGGTGAGATCTTGCATGGAGCCCCAGTCCGAGGGAGACTGACAGTCATCTTTAGCCTCTTCCATTTTCTAACAATTACTCCAACAGTTGATCTATTTTCACCAAGCTGCTTGGCAATTGCCCCGTAGCCCTTTCCAGCCTTGTGGAGGTCCACAATTTTGTGTCTGGTGTCTTTTGACAGCTCTTTGGTCTTGCCCATGGTAGTAGTTGGTGTCTGACTGACTGTGGGGTGGACAGGTATCTTTAAAGAGCTCAGACAGATGCTACTAAGTTAGATTAATGAGTGGAGTAGAGGTGGACTTTTTAAAGGCACAGTAACAGGTCTTTGAGAGCCAGAATTCTTGCTGTTTCTTAGGTGTTCAAATACTTATGTTCAGCAGTGCAAGACAAATTCTTTAAAAATCATACAATGTGATTTCCTGAATTTTTGTTTTTTAATTCTGTCTCTCAGAGTGGGAATGCACCTACAATGTTAATTTCAGACTCCTCCATGATTTCTAAGTGGGAGAACTTGCAAAATCGCACGGTGTTCAAATACTTCTGTTCCTCACTGTATATGGTGGGAAGGAATACATTTTGATCCCTGGAAGTTAATGTCCACATGTTTTTATATATTTTTAAATTAGTTTACATGTTGGTTTTAATTGAAATCCTCCATTAATATTGTTTCCTGCCAACTTTTGTTCTCAGTAGTGTCCTGGATTATAACAATTTGGATATTTGGATCACTGACCATCTTCCTGCTTGCTAGGGTACTTGGTGGAGATGTAAGTGAACTGTTCATTACTATCTTACATTGCTAATAATTTTTTGAAGGGATTGCTACAAATAACGCACATGAATCATCAGACTTGCCTGAAGTGTAAGTAGGGATTTCCATTCGATTGTGTTTTGACCAATATGTATTTATTACTATTCTAGCTCCCAACTTACCTCCCCCCCCCCCCCCCCCTAATTAAAAGGGGATTATATTTTACAGAATATTGCCTTTTTAGATATAAGATGGTGGCCTGAACATACGAATTCTTAAACCAAAAACGTTTTTTTTTAATTCAAACACTGAAATTGTAAGTATGATTGTACATACTTGCACAACAGTGTTACCCTTTGCTTCACCCATATTTCATAATATCCATCCATATCTTTGTGCCTAGTTTGTTATTAGCATTAGTGGAAAGTGTTGAAGGGGTACTACCATCTAAGGTAAGTGATTTATTAGTTCCTCACAGGCAGCGCTTCGTGGACTAATTTTCCAAGTTCTTTGCTAGGGACTGGGCATATAATAGTGCAATTCTATCCCCACCCAATCCTCTCTCTGTCCTGCTCTACAAGCCATTTGTTACCGGATTTAAAAATTGAGGTGTCAACAAATGAAAAGGGAGAATACAGGATAGGAATGTGATGAATAGTTTTTGTGCAGTCATGGTCTTTACCCCATATGCAAGTGTAGGGACATAATAGGGAGATGTGCAATGCCTGTGAACACTGGGCAGGGAAGTTTGCACCACTAAGGCGTAGTCCCAGCTGCTGCAGTATGCCTGGACAAGAAAAAGAGAGGAAGGCGCCTCTAAGTGCAGTATTAACAATTATTGAGTAAACAATGGAAAATTTGCACTTACAAGATAAACGGTTAAAAAGACTCATCGTGTGGTAATTGGATCCAGGTGGGACATCCAGCCGTCCAGCAGCAAGCTATGCCTATAGGATCAGGAAATAGAGTCCAGGATGTGCTTGTGCATCAAAAATGAAGCTTGGAGAGCAGAGTCAGATGTAGCAGGTGAAAGGCACGGTAATGCATTTTGGAGCATGCTCAATAGGCTCCTTCTTCGGGTCTCCTGGGAAGGAGAGCAAGTTGATTGAAGTGGAGAGGGCTTGATGAAGGAGGAGAGGAATTATGTTGCAGTAAGTAGGAGAGCTAACACAGTTGAATCGGTTGGAACGAAGCAGTGGAAAAATGACTCACTCCTGTTAGTGGGGCAGGAGAAGTGGCAGAGGCTCCTTGTGTGCCCTCCTCACCATATATTAATACTGCACCCGAGGCATGTACCTTTTCTGCCCACCCCTTGTCCCAGCCCTGGCATGAATTGTCTCAGCAATGGTGTGTGAAGAGGAGGATACTTGAAACATACACATACATGTGTGTTGGTGCCTTTAAAAGTCCCATACATCCACCATTAATTTTTCTTTGAGTAATGATGTGATCAGGGGAAGTCCGCTTGCAATTAGAAATAATATATGAAACCATAACTAATACCTGGAAAGTTTCAAGATTGTACTTTCAATCGGCAATCTATATTGGTGGTTATGAAGAATATCTCTATCTCCATATACTTTTGTGTAAAAAGGTCATGCTTGTTCTTTGGAGATATCCAGGGAACTTCATATTGCTAAAATCACTTTGGGTCTGATAATATGCTGGATGTGCATTTAAACTTTTTGCCAATGTTTATTAAAGAGGAAAAGAAGACTGCCTTGACCAGTGGGATGACTGGTGGAATTGCAACTTTTATTATCTGTTTACTGGGAAAAGGTCCCTGTTATGATTCATTTTTGTGTTTTACAGGTGGCTTATGGACAGGTCCTTGGTGTCATAGGATATTCCCTACTTCCATTAATAGTAATTGCCCCTGCACTTCTAGTGGTTGGATCATTTGACATTGTTTCCACAGTAATAAAAAGTATGTTTGTTTTTTTTTTTAACAAATGCATGTAGACTGTAGTGCATGTAAACTGTAGTTACACAGTATATAATGTAACTATTTAGGTTGTTTGATAAGTATTGTAGACCTTCCTATTTTGTCTGGGAGCAAGCATTTCTCTCTCTGCTGCTCTGGCTTCTAGGGAGGGGGAATAACCTTTCCTGGATAAGGGCACATGCACATGTGCAGTGTGTTAACGCTTGGCATGTTGAAGCAGCCAGTTTATATTGAAAGTATTGAGAATGCATCCAAGCATCTGCAACATTGCATTTTTTGTAACCTAATGTACTACCATGCAGTTATGACATGCTGCAACGCAGGTGTGTTAACTTCTTGCATTTGGGAATAATTTAAAATAAATGGCACTGCAATGCAAAATGGTGAATCTGGGCTTGATTTCTAGCAGTATCATAAGCCCCGGTGGCTCCTTTTATCTTGCAGCATTCTATGGAGCCACCTTTGCATGCAGGGACTAGAGCTTTGCCTCTCTACATTGTGTGTGTCAGTATTACAGTAGACACACATAGCCCTTAACCTAGAACAGAAAGGCACGCCCCTGCTTCTCTCTCCTCCCTTCTCCAAGCTAACAAAACTAGCTAGAGACTGCTCTGTCCACTGTTTCCGAAGTGAGCGTGTCTCATAAAGGGTCAGAAGTCATTGAGAAGTCTTTCAAACATTTTTTTTTTTTTTTTGTTTGAAAAAATATATGTATTAAAATTCTTGTATGTCTCTACTTTATCATCCTTCTTTCATACTATAACACTCTGTACATATTTTTTGCTCTTAGCTGGAGCATATATTAATGCATGAGTGTACAGTAGATGGTTTTTAGCTGCTTGGAGACCATATTAATGTTATGTTTTTTTGTGTTGCAGCTCTTTGGTGTGTTTTGGGCTGCCTACAGTGCTGCATCCTTATTAGTCGGAGAAGAATTTAAGACGAAGAAGCCTCTTTTAATTTATCCCATCTTTTTATTGTACATTTATTTTCTATCTTTGTACACTGAGGTGTGATGACAGTTTTTAGACAGTTCATTCACTTGGTACATTGGTAAAGTGTAATGCTGGTTGGGTTGGGAGTAGCCTTTTAATGACTCTACTCCTTTCTGAAACTTTGGAATGTATTAAGGCTGTGTGTATATATCACCCCTACGTTCAGTACAAGGGGCTTAATCTGTATATGGCAATATGGTGCAGGCCCCTCAAGGCAGGGATCAACTAAAGCAATTACAATTCTGTAATTTATTTTTTTTATTAGCATTTCTGTTGTCTTAAGTTGATCTTCTCTGAACACCTTCAGAAAGAGCAGCATTTAACCAATCAGTTGTCTACACGGTTGGTGAGATCTGGTGTTGTTGTATATGCACTAAATATAGATACAGCACATGACTGTTATCAAATGTGGCACACATATTGTTGGTCCTACAAATCTGTATGTTCAATAACCTATATGCTGAGATTTTTCAGTACTGACCAGCTCTATGTTCTATTAAATAATTTTTGGACACCTACGTAACGGATAACCAGATATATTCCTACTATCTTTTCAGTTTTAATAGACCTTTGGTGCACCTTTCAATCTGTTCCCCTTTGTTATATGGGAGTAAGGTGTATATATAGAGTCTAAAATATTTGTTTTTACATGTTTTAATTTAGCAAATTCTGTAAAATAGCATTAAAGCAAGGGGTAATGTTCTTAGTTGGGAATAGATTCAGAAATATAAAATTTTTGTCCCATGTAAATTGTTAATTTGTTGTACGTTTTTAATTTTAGGCTAGATGGTGTCAATGTAATTGGATAGCCTCTTTCTTTGGAGGTTTGTGGAATAAAGTGCCAGATTAGATAAATTTGCACATTGGGGATGTGCCAGATTAAAAACTGTGGTGAAAAAGTGCATCTCAGCATCGAGTTTTGTATGATTGCCTGGACCTTTTAGTTCAACTCAGATCAGCAGGAGAAATCTTCTATAATGTTAAGGTGTTGAAAGCATGTGGACAATTGTACTGTATAAAGTGGATATGACTGGAGAACGTTTAGGAAACTTAAATAAGCATGGCTTAGAAAATCCTAAATTGCCCTCACATCCTCCTGTATGTTGTTCACACTTTTATCTCCCATTGTTGCTTCATTTTCAAATTAAGCCATTGGGGTTTGCAGAAATTTTGTAGATGGGCAGAGACTGGTTAAGCAGCAAGACTGAGATATCAGTGGAGAAGCTCCATCACAAAATGCTGAAGCTACATAAAGCATTTTATGTGTTGGAAAGCCTAATTGACCTTTGATCATAACTACATTTAAAAGTTTTTCTCCTGTACAAACAAGTTTCAGAACTGCTTGATCATCCAAATGCCCATACAGGAACCATGTGATTTGTTTTTACATTTGTTTGGTGGACTCCTAATGACTAGATTTAATCTAATTTTATAAATTCTCAATGGTAATATCAGGAGGTGCTAGAGTTGAAGTTACATGATACTCCCTTTTCTCCTATGCATTGTTGGGAGACTGACCACTGGGGTGTCCCAATGTAAACAAAAAAAAAACCCTTCTGTAATCCAAGATTTTTAACATGTTCAGCTAATCTCTTCTCCTGTAGTGAAATAAAGAGCTGCTCTAAGGGCTAGTTCACACTAGATGCAGTTCAGTGCGCTTTTTTTCTGCAAAAAAAAAAAATGCATGCATAGTGTTTTCCATGTATTCCAATGGCCCTAGTTCACATCAGTGCACTCAGTTTCCGGTGCAGAAAAAAGTGTAGAACACACTGCATTTTATTTTCTGCACAGAACCATACTGGAACATGGCAAACTGCATCAAAACTGGACCAGAACCGCATGTGGTGTGAAACTGGTAAGCAAAAATGTATCCAGAATGCATCTGGAGTGCATTTTTGTAGTGTGAACTGGCCCGAAAAGAAAAAAAAAAAAAATAACACAGATTCAAGTGCAATTCATTTGGGAGGGTTTACTATTTGTCTGTAAAAGTTTGAATTTTTTTATATATTGCAATCGATTCTGTAGGTATGGTTAATAAATATTTATGAAAGTTGATGGCTTTCCACAGATATAAACAGGTTTTGATGTGTTACCCATCATTTCTTTAATTCTTCTGTTATATATGCGACTTTTTATAGATTTAATTTCAGATTCAATGCAAAAATAAAAACAAAAAAAAACATTGCAATGAATCAACATACCTGTATTGCTTGTCTTTTCTGGGTCTCATTTTCTTTTGTGTTGGTTTGGGTTTTATATGATATGGCAGCAATGTCAAAAGATCTGGTAGACTTTAACAAATGCATGTAAACTGAATCACTAAAATATCATTTAAAAATACTGAAAAGTACATTAACACTTTTAACATTTATATATGTAGCTTTCATTAAATTAATCCCTGGTGCTTCTACCATGTTCTTGTTCAGGCACTATTGTGATAAGCTGATGGTGTTCTGTCCTTGTCTTGACTATAAGATGCTGTTTTAACACATACTATGTAGGCATGGTTAACCGTTGTCACTATTAGGAAACCCACCCTAAGAAATGTCATGCGGCAGAAGATCAGCAGCACTGAAATGCAACAAAGGATTAAAAAAAAACCCATTAAAACAGTCTTCTAATAAAATAATGTCTATGATACACAGGGCTTTAGTAAGCTAAATATCATCTAGGTACAGTTCACATATTCTTTGGCCTTTTAAGTACCAACCTGTAATACCACTCATTACAGAGCCATTTTTAATTTTTTGGTACTGTGATAGTTTGACAAATACTCAGTTATGCAACACTATTCAAATTAACTTTAGATCATATTTTTATAATAGTATGTTACTTTTTTGGTTATTAACCCCTGTTGTATGTTTTATATACGATATAAAAGAAAGGGAGGAAAAAAAAAAAAGACCAAAACGTTTCCCTTCCTGTTATGTTAAAAAAAAAAAAAAAAAAAAAAAAAAAAGGCAAGGTAGACACAACACAATGCTGTGTTACGAACGCCCCCAAATTACCTCCCTTTTTTTTTTTTTTTTTTTTGCTTTTTTAAAGAAGACACCCCAAAGTGATCTAAATTTTGCCTTTTTTTTTTTTTTAAAGTGGGTAAAACTGGAGTGGGTAAAACTTGCAGCTTGGCAACTGTTCACTAGATACAGCTGATCATTAGTGTACAGGTCATACACTGAAGGAGAGCTGAAGGGGTTAATGTACGAGTAACGTACAGGGAGAGAATGAAGATGAGGGAGTTATTGTACAGTATAAGGAAGGTGAATAGTTACATATACAATATACAGATCACAGATACAGAAGAGGAGGGGGTGAAAGGGTTAAAAAAAATAATCCCACAATTCGTTAAAATCCCTCATTAATATTCTTCCTACAATCTATTCATAAAATCTTCGTAAATACTACTTTCTCCCTTTCCTCGGTTGTGAGAAAGGGGAGGGCTCTCTAATATAAACACTAAAGTGTTTACATATGCGGTTGCTGGGATTGGTCATGGTAGTGATCACAAGGTACAGAGCCACTCTGACTAACTGTAAATTGTGTCTGATCTGAGCTGGCTGATGATGGCTCCAGATCGCAGCCATTCAGGGCTGCATTGGCCACTCTTGTGTGTTTTTAGGTGTTGTTTATAAATGGCATTACAGAAGAACATGACCGCCACTCTGCCGTTTTTAATATGTATGGTGGTAGAGAAGTGGCTAATGGCAAATCTAAATAGTGGTTAATGGCGTACTGTAAATAGTTTTCAGGGTGTCCTAACTGTCTATTTATTTCAGTCAAATAGTTTTGTTTTTTTAATCCAAACAACTTTTATTGTCAAGACCATGAACAGAGTTTACAGAATCAACAATAATATTGCTATACCAACAGAATTTTGCATAGGTAAAACAATGTGGATACACAGATCCTGTAACATACAGAATAACTGAAGCTATGACTAATCATAGCAGAAGACACATGGATCCAAGGCTATCTTGATGATACATAACTTTTTCCTTTTATCTTATATTCCTCCACGTCTAGATGTATACATAACTGGGGGAAAGGAACAAAATCAGAATTAAACCAACATGAACATTTTCAGTAAAAATTTAAACTTGAGGGATACAATGCCCTATGGCTCAGAGCTTCTATTATTCATGTAGTGCTCAAGGCAATTGCAGTGAACCTTGGGTTTGCAAGTTAATATGCATAAATGCACTGTGCACTAGAATACTACAGACAAGAAGCCTTGGTGCGATTACAGGATCACTGAAACATTAAAGACTTGACTGGGTTCATCTCTTTCTGAAAACTTGACACCAAGGCAGACATCAGACAGATCATTCTTCACCCAAAGACAGACAAGACAATCACTCTTAAGCTACATTTTATTTACTGAAGTTCAAACTGGATGTGGCACTGATTTAGGAAACTCCAACTCAACAAGTTAAGATTTTCCACAGAAGTGGGGGAGTAGCTGGAGTTTCATGTCCAGAAGTTGCCACAACAGTCGTTATGGGAGATGGAGCAGGTGCCACTGGAGCTGATGCTGTATTAGTTCTCAGCGCAGCGTTCTGTAGCAGATCTAGGTTGGCAATTTTAAGCACTTTGAAAATGTGCTCCTGATTACCCTTTAGAATGCTGAACCAACAAATCAAATGCTGCAGCCAGAAAAGGTGCAATCTATGGCCTGTTTAAACATGGGATACAGTGGAGCTTCTGTGTGACTAAAATAAGTCATATGGCTTTAGATGAGAGCAGGTATAGTGAGCTCAGATGCATTCTGCTGTGGGTAGTCTGAGTTGTAGCGCAGTTCAACCTGAAGCATAGTGTATGTACATAAAGCTAAAATGCCTTAGATCAACTTCAGGCTACATGTGCAAAACTCTTTAAAATAAAAAGCCTGTCTTTAACGCAGCACGTTGACCACTTGCCGTCCAGAGGAGTTACCCCCCCCCCCCCCTTCCTGACAAGGCCATTTTTTTGCGATACGGCGCTGCGTCAGTTTAACTGACAATTGCGCGGTCATGCAGTGCTGC